AGTCATCTGTCAGCTCCATTTTCTTATGTCTATAGCAAATCAAATCCATCTTTTACTGAAGACTTGTTTATTGAACTATTGGGCATTTGAATAGTTTATTGAACGCTATAGGCATTTTCTGAGGAAATTTGGGAAGTAAAAATACATACAGATTTTCTAAGAACAGGTGTGGCCCTAAGGCTTGAACAGGGGAGACTATCCATGCTTTGTAAGTCATAAGAGCATTTAAAGTCAATTTAAGGCATTTAAAGTCAAATTCTTATACTTCTTTTTAGTTATGAAATATCAAAGGTTTCTGACTATTTCCTGTCACCCTTGAATTTATGTTGAGAGAAATCCAAGCATCATTACCTCCGAGAGCCCCTCCTTGCACAGGGGACATTTTGGGTTGTGATCTAGGCATCTCTCAAGACATTTGAGACAGAAGGTGTGTCCACAAGGTGTAGTGACAGGTTCATAGAAGAGCCTGGATTGGAAAATCCAAAAAGAAAACAATAATATTGTGTACCAAAATAAAGAAGCTGCTACCAAAAAAGCTGTATTCATTCTCCAATGTAAGTACTCCAGGGATAAAGTTATTCCTTGCTTTTCATTTCTTCAATGAACTCTTGAATTTACTCAGCTCATGCTTTCTTATTGCTACCTGGTATCAAAACCAGCTCAAAAACTCCGATTTCAGTGAATGCGAGAGAATATTGTCATTAGCTTCCAATAAGCCAGGATTTAATTTTCCTTTATGCGAGCGATAAATAGAAGCAGAAGTTGGACCATCTGACTTTTTCTAATGAAATTGAGCAATACTTGCACAACTATTACCGTGGAAATCATGTGATTACTCATATGTGTAGAGCTAAGTACAAAATAGCTATTTGCAGTAATAGCCCACATAAGTGATTGCAATAAACTGTTATTGCCAACTCTAATGTGGACTTGGAAAGCAGTTTCGTTGCAATAGACAGGTTTTAACCTTCAAACAACCGCTTTTCTGGAGCATCAGTGATACTAGGCTCCTGTTTCATCTAGAAAAGTATTTCAATATAAAAGACCAGGTTTTCAATGTATCATGGTATCTAATCTTTACCTATTTCGAGTACCTCTGTGACACTTATCTTCATATAAGGGGTTTTTACTTACTATTCTGTTTATGTGCTGAATGTGATGTTTCCTTGCCAGTAAGTACCTTAAAGAGATGCAAATAATATGGATTTTTTCATAGAAAATGTTTGATACCAGGGAATAGGTTGTTCGGCATATACTGTATTTTTCAACATACTGGCTTTAAGGTCTCAAATATCAGTCTAATTTTAAGTGAACTTACAAGTTTATTGTAAAATATTAGAGTTTGTCAAAACAAAAAAAACCACCACCAAGTCCTGTTACACATTTGGGTTTATGTATGTAGAATTTCACATTTATTAGCATCTGTTATATGAGCGTAATCAAGAACATAACTGGCTCCTAACAAGATTGCCAGTTTATATTGCAATTTGACTGTTCAATTGAAAATCCTTAGTAATTGTTTTATGAAGGGAAACCTCACTGCACCAAGGCTCCCTTACTGCTCTCAACTATGTAAAATACTGAATTCTGCAATACGTTTCAGTAAGCACTGGTTTGCACATGTAATTTCGCAGTCACTTACTGGATCTAAAATGTTAGCATAAAGACAAGCAAGTCCTGTTGAAATGTGTGAGTCTGCGCTAGGTCTCTCAAAAGCCAACAGCAGCAGCTTCTTCCTAATGACTCTAAGGGGACCTGGACCAAGCCTCATGACTTGCAGAAAGAAACACCATACACCAAGATTTCTCATGACATCATTTAAGCTATTGTAACAGCAGAAACTAAATAATCACTCCTGCTGAGTAATGCTCCTTCATTCTTCCACCAGTGCACTGCTTTGAGTATTACTTTTTATCTTCCGCTTGCTGCTGGAGTGAATGTAGATCAATAACATTTTAGCCACTGTCAGACAAATAGGTTAATAACAGCTCTTGCAGTTAATTGTGAATAGGTCAGTAGGTTACTAGGTAATTAGTCCAAAGTATCTTAGGATCCAAATCCCCAAAATACCTCTGAAGAACACAGCAGGAAACAATTATAATCAATCTGCATTAATAGCAAGGAAAAAGATCTTGTGACACTTGCCTTAGCAGAAGCCTTCATTATTGCAGTGATGTTACAAAGCTAACATCCTCCTAGATGCAAGGTCTGTATTTGTGATTGTGATTACAGATCAGCATCGCCATCCTCTATATTGCAAGCTCAAGAATTACCAATTCCCTAATTCCTTTACAACTGCATTGGAGTCTGCCTGTTTCTGATTTAACAGAGGATGAAGAAGTAGGGCTAATTAATTTTATTTAAAAAATCTGAAAAATGCTTTGTTGACACAATGATCATAAATGTGCAGACTCGTTAAATCAGCTAAGACTGATTGTGTGGCTTTCTGTTAAAGGAAAGTTTTGCTCCTAGCAGTATCAATTGTTTTGACAGCTATATAAACTCTCAGATCACTTTTCAGCTGTAAGCAGAGGGAGGGGGGCAGAGCCAATTTACTCCAAGCAGAAGTAAATCAAACACAATAGTTGTTTCAATTTGCCTGAGATAAATGGAAGATGTCCCCCCTCTCCCTGCATACCAACAACCAACCAAGCAACTCCACATTTCTCAAAGCACAGGACTTCAGAAATAAATCCATTAAGAGGCTGTCTGCTATTAAGAATTTAAAATACAGTGCAAAACTAACCTAAACATGCATTACTGTAAATCTGGGTAATGAAAGCTACAAACCTAAGCGACCATCACTGTAGAAATCAAGACCCCTGTGAAAAACCTTTCCAGTGTTTCCAAGTCAGTTAACAAAACCCACATGTATATTTGCCAAAGTTATAATGTGTTTTACAAACAAGTAGTAAAACAGATGTAGTTGAAAACTACTGGTTTTATCAAGTCCTTGCTGTCCCCAAGAATGACTGATGGCTAGAAGAAGAGATCATGAAGCAAATGGAGCAATGGCCTTGGGAAACAAAGGAGCACGTCTCTTAAGTAATAAAAGAAAAACACGCTCTTGTTTGCTTGCAAGATTCTCCTATTGCAATAGCAGCAACATAGTATTTTACATGCAAATGTGGAATATTCATTGGATGTGGTCTCTTCAACTATTTTGAGCTTTACATAACATCATAAGGGCTGTACAGATTCCAGAGGACAAACTGGTTTTGTGCACTACATGTGTCAGCAGGTGGCCACGTGTAAGTGATGAGATGAAATCTTTCAGAGACCTTCACTAGCAGGCATAACCCTCATGCGCCCTTTTCTAAACAATCACTAGCCTAGAAGAGATCAAGAAGTTCCTATTCATCAACAGTGTTGATTAACAGGTCTAGAAACACATCAGTGGAGTAGCAGTAAAAACTAATTTCATGACAGAGGGAAAAATTACCAAGTATACTAGAAAATCTCTAGGTCATAAAATGGAAAGAGATACAGCTTAAAAGCTAAAGACATCCATGAGAAAACAACAGATACCTCATACACAGGGAGCAGTCCAAATCTGATGGATCCACAAATTCAAATGGAGTATGTTGTCCAGCACTATTTCCCTTAGTATCAACTGTATCTATCAATAACAGAAAACATATTACAGTGTAATTGAGCAGAAGTATGGTAAACACACTGGTATTCTGTGTAACTACAAGCAGCAGCCAATACTTAATCTGTGTTGCATACACTTGCAAGTTACTGAACCATTAAGAACCATTACAATAATTTCTATGCAAACCATCAAGTTCAGCCTTGGCACAAATCCGTATACCTTCTCTTAATTTTGGTGGCATTATACCCACTTACAGAGGGCTGAATTTAGCCTTGCATTAACAATTAATGTCAAAACATTTTTTTCATTGGTGTTGGAAGTGAGATACAGTCTTCTGTCCTCCCATTGTAAACATATTCTACAGCATGAAAACAAGGCCAGATATCATCAACAAACAATTTGTGCTTTTAAGCAAACTTTTTTCAGTGATCCAGAAAGTGCTAAGGCCATGTGTGACACTCATATTCCTTAAAAGATTGAGATCTCTGATGAGAAACAAGCATCAACAGACCCGAACGTCTTACCCGCTTTTAGACTATTTTTTGTTTTTAATGTACACAGAAATTCCCCATGCTGCCCTGCTTAGACTAAAGGGAAAATGCACAAGCCAAAGTGCAATTTGGACCCTCTTCCTCTAATTTGTATAAAAGCAAAATTTCTACTGATTGCATGCCATGAGACTTACCCTGTGAGCAATCAAACATACCTTTCTTCATCACTTTGCAGGGGAGCTCAGCATTTCGCATCTCCTCCGGACAGCACTTCCTTTTCAAGAGGCTGCACTTGTCAGAAATGAGGAAGGTAGATTCCGGCATGGAGGTGAGTTTGTTCTCCTCCTCCAAGCAGTCCTTTTTGCTCTCTGTAATTTGTATGGATTTCCTCAAGCTACCAGAAGTAGTTACGTTTGGTTCCTCTTGAATGGAAAACCCTTTTTTCTGTTCCACATTTACCTGTGTGAAGACAGGTCTGACATTGGACTAATCTTACAACAACTTGGTAAGGAAAAAACCTCAAACCTATTACAAGTCTTTAACATTATGGATCACCAGGAAGGACTTTGTAGGTCAAGAAGCAACAGTTTGAGAATTGTTGTCAGGGCCTGCTTGTAATGGAGGGGGAAAAAAAAAGGGCAAACTATTAGCTCTCCCCACCCATCCTAGCCTCACCATGGCACTGAGTATTTTCAGCCCTTATGTACAGCTTTATAGCTTGGTCATGAAACTTGATTCAGGCAGAAATGTGGCCAGATCTCAGGCTGAATATATTGTTATCACTTAACCTATGGGGAAATGCATATTGCATATAACATAATGATGGTATCAAGTATCAAAACCAACCAAAACAATGTGAATTTAAGGAAGCAGTATAGACACACAAAATTTGTAACAGAAAAAATGCACAGAGCTTCCTTTAACAAGACAGATTTATTTTGCGAAGGCTAAAATGGTGAGACTTCACCCTGTTAAGGCTACAGAACAATCTGGAGCAGCCATTATACAGGACATCCCCTATCAGCTTGTCACATCAACTCCCCAGGTGAACCTGAAAGTAGATACTGTGGATAGTGATCAGAAGCTGTGGCAATGTGTAACATGCAGAAAGATGACTGACCTGTCCCTCAAATTACTTTGTTAGGGGGTCATACAAAAGGATTTCTTGTCAGAATACCCTAATAGCCTTTCCAGAAGGCAAAGTCACTGAGTGTTCTTATCAGTCTCAACAAGGCTGTTCAAAGCCTGCCATTTTTGTTTGTGAGGACTAGAAGTTTTCTCCCACATATGTATGTATATATGTGTATACGCCAAACCTATCCCCAAAGTTCTGATGTCAGTGAAGCAAAAGTGGTCCTTACGAACCCATGGATGCCAACCTCTACAGCCATTTACAAAACTATGGCTCTGAGACCAAACTTACAGAGCAGCTAATACATCTGCTTTAGAATAACCTCTAAGCAGTGTACAGAATCTGAATGCAGGATAGTTTTGCCACTGACATCAATTATAGTTGAAGCTGAAACCCCAGGTTTTAGCATTTCACAGCTTTGGAGGGTATCTCAATCCAGTCTTCAGAGGCCCTTTCCCACTACAAACTACTTGGAAGAGCTAAAGACAATTACAGGACTAGAACCCACTCAATTCTGGCATAAATTTTACCAGTACTACACCAGAAAAAGAAGTCAGATAAGGAGACTTCGGTAAGTCAACACTTTCTTGTAATCTTCTGAAACTCAGTAAATATCTAAGAAAATGTATCCTCCTGTCTCCCATAGGTGAAAAAGGAGAGAAGGCTTCCCAATGTGAACATAAAACACACACGAATTAAGAACCACACATCAGACTTGGTTTTACCTTGAGCAACCTCTGTAGGTTATGGCTGGTGCCTCCAGATCCCACTGAATTTAGGAGATTCCCCTTTAATCTAGAGTGATGTGACAACAGCTGCAGGATATCAGGTAAGTGTTCCTGAGCATTTCCCGGGATGAGTGAAAACAAACTAAGTAGAAGCTGTGATACAAAACAGAATACTTCACTGCTTAGTTCCTTCCTTGCAACCTCAAATGAAAAAGCAAGTAAAGGAAGAACTGAAAGAAGCATCCTTGATTTTGTTAAAACCATTTAAAGAGCCATTTAGATGAGGGTAAGAACAAAAAGTGCAAGAGCTAATGCAATATAGGCTGAACAGACAGCAAGAGACATTTTCAGAATTAAATAAGCCCATAAAGTTATTAACCATTCTGGGATGTGACACCCACATGTCTTTGTCCACTTTGTCGTGCAGGTCATAAACTCACCAGAAATTACTAACATCCATCTTAAACATGTTTTTTGCTGCACCTCAGAAGCTTTCACTGGGGTTTATTAGTACAGAGGGCACTCATCTCACAGGCTTAATCCAAGTTCAGTGAAGTAAATGTCTCTGATATTGTAAATTGCAGCTATTTTTAATTCATTTACACGAGGATACAAGAAAATGTAGGCAGTAGAAAAACACTACTTCTTCATTTGCTATCAGAAAATAAGTGCCTTTGTTTTGAGTAGCACCTTGCAGCCAGTTGTATGGCATAGCTTCTCAGATAATTGTTTAAGGAAAGAAGCAGTGCTGAATGGAAGATTTACACTCCCCAAACTACTTTCAACATACTGAGGTGATCCTGCTGATTCCTGGGGAAGCCACATGACAGCAAAGGTACCTTTTTAAAGCCAAAAAGGATTCCAGAGGGTCACACTGTGTCAAAACTAACATGGACAGTTAATACCAGCAGAAAATCCCAGCTGCACACCAAGAATTTGGTAAAATGTAGCATGTCATTGTTATGCAGATGGCCTTGGAAGTGACTCAGTAGAACCATGGATGAATTCTGTCTGATGAGTGCACAAGTAATTCTTTCAGTCATAAAAAAGCCTGTTTTTCCCTCAGAACCCCACTGCTCAGAAGTGAGGTGTCTTGGATAAGGCTATTTGGAGTCAGAAATTAGAAACACATTTGTTTGTTCCTGCTCTTTTTGCTCTAGTGCACAGGAACTCTCCCAGCATGACTGTGAGAACAAACCATGACACAATGGCAGTGAAAGCTACATGGAACCCACCAGGAAAAAACCCAACCAACCAAAACTCCCAAATATCAGTGACAAAAACCTCACAGGAGGTGGAAATCTCAACCATATGCAAAAATGAGATAAAAATTTGATTGTACTACAGCCATCCAGGCTATATTCTGTTTCCTTCATGAACAGTGCTTTACTGTAAGAATTCTATAAATAAAGCTTTCAGAAAGCTTTATTTATTGCAGCACACAGAAGCCTCAAAGTTCCTATCCCACCAGTGATGGAGAAAAGCCTGAATGCACTGCCATAAAAGAAAATTCAGTACAAGGAAAATAGCACATTACACTTTATTACCATAAACCATCCCTGTGACACTGAAGCTTTTAGCTATGACAACAAAAAAAAACCCGGCTAAATGTCAAAAATACTGATTCACAGGAAATCAGAGATTTGAGGGGCTGCAAAACAAAGCAGTCTTCACAAAAGCTGTTGGAGAATCCACACACCACATTTTAGGGTGTTACTGTAAAAAAGTCTCACTGCAGATTCATTTTGTTGCTTATTTAGCCTTAATTATTAGCAATCTTTAAAAGCTATCTTAAACCAGCTCTTCTTTTGTTGACTGCTTCCTTTCATGCCTCCTTCACACTCTGATCCTGGGTGAAGTACGACTGGCAGTAGGAAGAGAGCTGCTGCTCCCAAGTGGAGTTTGAAGGGTGCTGCGTGTTTCATTCTGCCAGTCAATGGCCTGATACAACATTCCACAGCAACCCCTCCTCTGCTGCACTGTCACTGGTGAGACATGGCCACACTAGGAAACAGATTAAAAATCCAGCTCTAGAGAAACACAGCAGTCTGTGGGTGAGTTACTAACAAAATCAGTCTTACTTCAAATTTGGCAATGCTAACACTGTGAGCAACTGTTTCCACAGTGTCTGCTGAGTATGTTTTCTTGCTACCTCTCTATCTTCAAGCAATACACAACTCAAATCTGAACAACAGTCGGGATACATGTCTCCATGCAGCTCTTTGCAGTAATGAGAGAGAAGGGAAAAGAGAAGAAAAAAATTATGCTCCTTTATGAAATGCCACTGAACACAGGAACACAGCTCCGGGTGGTTTAGGGAACTCACCTTTTGTGCCTCAGACTTGGCAGTCTTGTTCCCAGTATCTAGAGCAAGGCAGAACAGAAACTCTCTTAAAGCTTCTTCTGTTTTCCCCAGATTAGCTAGTGCTTGTCCTTTCCTTAGGTGACCCTGCAATGAAACACATCCATAGTTGGCACCTTTTGTCATCAGAACGTGCACTAAAACCAAGGTGAAGTGACAAAAGACCTTTCCAGAGAAGAAAAAGTTAGGCAGGGGAATCACTATAAACATCTCTTATACCACGATACCATCAGTGCTTGGGGTTGTAACTCTTACAGGAAGAACTAGGATATTCTCTAACTCTCAAGTATGCTCTCAGAGCACTTGAGCCAAACTGACCTTGGAGAAATCTACTTCCCCAAATTAATCTCTTAAATTTATCATTACATCCTTATATAATGATGTAAGCACAGCATGGGATTTTTGGAGAGTGCTCATGAACTTGAGATTCATGCAGGTCAAAGACAATAGTCTCAGTTTATCCTCTAGGATTATCACTCTCTTCCTGACCCCAGAAGTATCACAGCTGAATGCCTGCAAGTCACAGGAAGCCAAAAAGTGACAGGATGTAAAGCCTCACTCCGATCCAGCTGTCTAACAGGTTTCTATCCAGATCAAATCAAGGTTTTAAAGTACAGCTGGAGTCAGGACTTACTTTCAACCAGTATGGCTGGAGTCTGCACGCTGTTTCTGCATCATGAAGCGCATTTTCACAAGCTTTCAAAGTCGAGTTAATCTGGGACCGGTTGCTGTAGAGCAAGTGGTCATTTGGAGCTGTGAGAAACAAGGGAAATAGGTTGATGGAAGCAAGTTAAAAATCAGTTACATAAACTTTATTCTTTTTGGGGGGGTTCCAAGTTGTAAAAACCTACAAAATACACTTTCTTTTTTTTTAATAACTATGTACTAAATGAGAACTGGAAACCTCTTTGGGTAACTCCAGACAAGACGTCAGCTATGCCTTATATAACTGCAGGGAACATTGCATAAATAAACCACGAGACGCTCACACAATGAATTACCAGCTCTGACTGAGGATCAGATGGGTGATAGAAACACACAAGAGACATCCCAATAGGAATGCTGTCCTGCTGTAGAGAGGAGTTTCACGATTTTTAGCATCAAAGTTTTCAAGTAACATGCGAGGATCTTTTCGTGCCAAAGCTCAACACAGGAAAACAAGTGTAACTATAGGAATGGGATAATGCTATGTCAGTGTGGGTGAAGCGATCTGCTGGTTACAGTGTGTTGTAGCATCAAGACACAGTACGTACCAGATTAAGGCTGTACGCTCTTTCAGAACACTCAATAATTGAGCGCTGACCGGTAATACCTCGCCTTTAATTTCCCCTTACTGTGGGCCGGGTTATGGCCGTCTTTCCTCAAACTACACGGAAACGATCGCACCAGAAGTTTTCCTCACACAGCCCCTGCGGCAGCTCACCGGTCACGGGCGGCCACGGGGAACGCGTGCCAGCCGGGACCCCCCCCGTGCCCTGCGGCCGCTGCCCCCGGGCCCCGCCGGTTACACAACGGCCGGACCGCGGGCTCCGGCTTACGCAACCGCTGCTCTCCTGACCCAGTTCCATTGCGGGCCGGGGAGCCCCTGCCCCTCCCGGGGCTCCCCCTGGCCTCCCCGCCGCCCGTCCGCCCAGCACCGCGAGGACTCAGCGGGAGCCAGGCCCTGGCCGGAGGAAACTTGTCCCAGGGAGCGCGTCCCCGGGAGACCGGCGTCGGGCTGTGGGTGCCGTTACCTAAGCTGACCGCTTCGTTGTACTTCTGCAGGGCTGCTTGCAGCTTCTTCTCCTTGTAGAGGAGATTCCCTTCGTGCCTGAGCTGCGAAGCCTTCACTTGGCAGGGAAACCACTTGGCCAGCAGGTTGCTGAGGATGACATTGACCCGCGGGAGCTGCCCGGGCGCCGCGCCGCCCTCCTCCTCCTTGCACAGGACGCAGCGGGACTCTGCCGCTCGGTCCCTCTCCAGGCACTTTTTGCAGAACGTGTGTCCGCAAGGCAAGGAAACGGGCTCGAAGAGAAAGCCCTGGCATTTGCGGCACCTGAAGACGTCCCACTCGCGGGGCTGCGGGGGGCCGCTCCCGGCGGCGGGTAGCCCCTCTTTGATCCGGACGCTCTGCGCCAGGCACTCCACCAGCTTCTCCAGCTGCTCGGCGCGCAGCTGCTGGTGCCGGGACGCCAGCTGGTACAGCGGCAGCGCTTCGTGCAGGCGCCCGCCGAACGCCAGCGCGTCGGCGCGCCCCAGCAGCACCTGCCACTCGGGCCCCAGGCCGCCGCCCGACAGCTCCAAGTTCTGCGCCTGCAGAGCCCCAGCCGCCAACTGCAGCACCAGCGGGGGCTCCGGACGCTGCTGCGGCGGCAGGTGGGAGCCCATGGCCGCGACGGCGCTAGCGGTGCGGGGCGGCGGGGAGCGGAGGGGGCGCGGGCGCGGCACGGCCCCACCGGCCCATGCTGCT